GACTCATCAGTCTGCCAAAAAAATAAAAAAATGCCCCAATGTAGTGAGGTCACATGTAGCATACTACTTCTTGAAACATTTTTTTTTTTGTGGAATAAAAACTATTTCACAGTCTACTATTTTTTAAATAATTTGAATAGTATTTAGCATAAAGTGCATACTGCACAGTATCCAGTAAGTAGTAAGCTAATATTCCATTTCAAACATGACCATATAGTGTATACACTCTTCAGGTTTACATTTACTATATATATATTTACATTTATTCATTCAGCAGGTGCTTTTATCCCAAACGACTTAAATTAAGATGATCACAAGCAACTTGTCAAATACACAATGCCAGAATTCAAGTATACGAGTATACGCATTAGTACACAAAAATCCAGCTTTAAATGTCTTAGTTGTCTCTGCACATCAGTCTGAGATAGGACAGAGGTACCTCAGACAAGAATATTATACACCACAACTAACACCTTTACTTTAGCTAATGGAAATGTCACCACTGACTTATATGATGTGAATAGTGCAATCAGCACATTAAGAGACAACTCAGATGTTCTCAGAATAACTTCATTTGTGAAAAATTGTTATGAATATTACATGATCTCTCCATTTCACCATGTAGCTGTAGTTATAATGAAGACTCCACACCATAGTAGATAATCATGGACAAGAGACAAAAAGCATCACTGGTTTGCATGGTGCGAGTGCCCCCTAGTGCTGAAACACAAGGGCAACTTAATTTGCCACTTCAACGCCTGGTTTCACAGACAGGGCTGACATTAAGATATGTCAGTGCAAGTTTCCTTCAGTTAAAACCGCTCAGACATGCATTTTAGTCTGGGACTAGGCTTAAGCCTTGTCTGTGAAACCGGAGGCAAGTTCACAAGCTATCAAAGCCGCTTTAATAATAAAAGACCATATAAGAACATCTCTAAAGCTGTCACCTATCATGAAAAGGATGGAGCTATACAAAAACGGATCCGAAGTAAGCTATCGTAGCCCATCCGTCTGTCTGTCACGGCTGCATATGGAGATTCAGTCCAATTCAAGATGCCATTATGTGAACGTCAACTACTGATTTACAGTGTACTGTTTTGATCAGAAAAATGTCTTTAGCTGCAGCACATTCAGTCATTCAAAATCTGTATGTGCTGAACTTAAAGGGGTCATATGATGCGATTTCAACTTTTCCTTGGTATAGAGGAGAAACAATAATGTACAGTATGTGGAAAATAATGTGTTTTTTAACTTTAAACCGCATAAACACATTTCATTACACCAAATACACAAAATAATGTTCTTTTTAGCAGCATCATATGACCCCTTTAAAAAACACCTTCATTGTGGCTGGCAAAAGATAGCGGCATTAACATACAGTTTCGTGTTATTTAACAACATATAATTTTATATGCCGAGCCTGGTAATCCCAGGAGAGTGCCTGTACATTTAAATGCTAACAACACTATCGTAACTGTTTAAGCTAAAGTTAACTAGCTAACAATGCTATCTCCTAAACCAGTGGTTTTCAAACCCGTCCTGGAGGCCCCCCAGCACTGCACCTTTTCTATGTATCCCACACACCAAATTCAGCTTTTGCAGACTCTACTAACGAGCTGATAAGTTGAATCAGGTGTCTAAAATGAGTGAGCGAACTAAAATGTGCAGTGCTTGGGGTCCTCCAGGAAAGGTTTGGAAACCCCTGTCCTAAACGACATTGCAATGGTATTCTTGATAATCAGTAACTTGCCTTTATGAACACATTTTATAAACGCTTATAATATTTTAAAGCCTTTATTATTTCTCAACTCTACAGCTGTGCAGCAAAATGTCTCCTGGCGGAAAACAAAGATTTTTAAGATGAAATTACCATTATAACTAGTAGATGGCAGCAGAGGATCACTCATTAGCAGTTGCCATTTCAACTCCCTAGTTTTTTTTCAGGTCTTGCTTTTGGATTTAGTATGAAATGACTATTATAACAAATTTTTGTACTTTTACTGTACTAAAGTATAGAGTAGCCTATAGCAAGTGCAGTAAGTCACAAAGTGTCATGTCATTTAATAAATAAATAAGCCCAGACACCAACAGCCTAGAAGGGTAAATTATTTAAATACTTAACTAGTTAACTACAGATTAAATAAGTTAATTATTAATGGTATAACAACTAAATAATGATGCATTAAATATATAGAACTATTTTCATAGGCCTATTTAAGCTGATAAATATATTAAGCCAACAGACTTGCTACTGTAGTTTTGTTACTCTGAATTACTTAATGCACAGGTTTTTGACATTGGCCTGTCAGATGTTTTGTTCCTTACTACAGTTATTACTGTCAATCATACCAATGACTTTCAGAACAATTTAGCGGATTCACTCGCTTAATTTTTTACACTCGCGTTTGGCATTCCTGAAACTGTACGTGGAAGTTTGGTCCTCTTAGACAAACAAAACTTTTCTTCAAATTGTGAATGGATTATGTAGAGAAACCGAGCAAACATTTACGAATCGGGTAGCCTACCGCTGGTTCTTAACTTCTAGTCTAAACGGACGACATTATTGTCACAGAAAAACGTTACGCTAAGCCAGTCAACTCTATAACCCTTAAAACTGATTAGAGCTCAATGACGGTGAAGGCGGCGAATATGTTCTTTGAACTCTGATTGTGTAACATGAATAGGCCTAAATGTGGAAACTTTCACTATTCTCATTTTCTTGCGAGTTATGATTCAGAATACATCATACATAAATATCTGTTGTATTGACCAATAACTGTCGGTTAAACTCACCGTTCTGTGATTCAAAAACATTGTGCATGTGTTGCTTTTGCAAAACTCGTGCTCAGTTCAGTTCAGGAGTTGACACGTCACTGAACAGGTTTCATAGAGGTCACGTGCTTCTAATTTATGCGTTCTCGTAGCCTGAGAATCCAGTGGAGGGCAGTAAAAAAATGACACGTTTCTTTCTTCGAGTTTGGTTTTATTGGACAGTGTTGATATACATTTGATTTCCAAAATAATAATAATAAAAAAAAAGAAAAAGAAAAATGTAATAAATGAAATATGCACACTAAGGATAATTATTGCTTTATACTTGATCTGTATTTACTTTCAGGTTCATTTTACTGTGAAAAAAATAATTAATTACAAATCTTAATTTAAAAAATAATAAAAAATTTGATTAAAATTTGTTAATTTGTTATTGTGTCCTATTCCTTAGATTTTTATTTGCATGTCTGATTCAGATTGACTGATACATGGGGGGGTACACTTCTTTTTGAAGGTATATTGTTTTCAAGGGTTGGTGTAATTCTTACTTACACCTATACATATCCCATATCTTTTATATTATAGTTGACCTGGAATCACTAATATACGGAACTTAAATATGATGTATGTATAATTTATAAATGTATAAATGGTAACATTTAGATTACAGAGACAACTACATAAGAAAATGTATCAATTAATTTTTCTAAGATTATTCTAAATAAAATAAGCTTTTTCTGCTTCTATGCTTTGTGTGAAGCATATGAGTAGCCTACAATTGATTTGTCTGATGGTAATTAGATATGTAATATGAAAAGCAGAATTTCCAGTGATGATTTTGATAGGGAAGATCTGGATTGAAAGATTAATTAATTAGATTAAAAAAAAACAAAAAAAACAATCTAACTGCAAAGCCCTTTTGTTTGTTCTCTTTTCAGTAGGTCTAAGAAGCATCAGAAGATTGTCAGTTTGGAGGTTTTTGTACAGCACGCTTTCAGTGTGTGAATACCCATTTGTCACTGATCTTATGGACACTCACACAGTAATAATCTCCTGCATCTTCAAGATGGACGTCACTTATGTTCAGAGTGAATTCAAGACCCTTTCCTCCAGAGTGAAAACTGCCTCCACCGCTCATAGATGGAGCACTTGAAGGCTTTATTGTTGTGTAATATATAAGGAGTTTAGGGGGTTCATCTGGCTTCCGAAGTAGTCTTTAGATACATAGCCTGTTGGAAGCCTGTAAACTTCGGTGTTGACCTTACAATCAATAAAGACTGTTTGACTGAGCTCAACTGATTTAACATCAGACTGAATCACAACTGCCCCAAAGAACCTGTGAGAGTAATAAAACTGAATTAAAGTAATTATTCATGCATGAGCAAAACAATGTCTTTCACTTTGATTTGAAAATGAAATGACCTTGGATGCAGTAAAATGCCCAGATGAAGAGAATCATATTTGCTTCTGTTTTAGAGAGAAGACTCTGCATTTGTTAAAAGCGTTCACATGAACTATAAACTCTCCGAGCACTGATGCATGAGCTGCCAATGCAAAACATCATTACTTTGGAAAAACCCTTCCTGAACTGAAATATCTTCTTATTCATATGACAATTAGCTTTGTAATATTATATACATATTTGAATTATAAGTTAATCATATAGTTTAATTCAAACTTGTGTTATCTCACAAAAGTCTGCAGGTTTTTTTTTTGCAGTGAATGAGAATGAATTGTGGAGGATTTTTGTTGGAAGAACCAAACTGAATGTTGAAAGTAAGTGCAGAATGAAATAAGATGGATAAACACTCACAAAATGTGGACCTGAATAGATTAGATAGCATTGCGGCATATTTACAGATTATCATTATTGTTTTTGTTCACATACTGACTTGACACTGTATAAGGAATACAGGGTTGTAAATTAGACTATAAAAACCAAATAACATTTTAATAAAATATCATTTTCAGTTAACTAAATGCCTAAATATTATTTTGCATGAAAGTATTGATGTGCTTATTTTATTTTTAATAGTGCAGTTATGTTTGTATTATTCTTAGTAATAGAATTATGTAATATTTAATACATTTTTAAAATTGTATTAAAATTAAACTGGTTTAATTATATAGCTTTATCTTATAGCTTTTTATATATATTCTTATAGCTTTACTATCAGTTGTGAATAGCAAATTGGTTAGTGTCAGTGTCAGTGTCAGTTTTAGTGCAGGAGGCTTTTGTCCAGCCACTGATTGGGTTTGTATCACTGTGGTACACGTTCGGTGGAGGCACTCGACTCTCAGTTGGAAGTAAGTAAATCTATTTCTATTTTAAATATGAAACACTACATTAAAATAACAACAGAAGATTTGTTTGTGTTTAAAACACAATTTTAAAATAATACCAATGACTAATATAAGAAAAAATCATTTTAAAGTTTTGTTCTGGTGTGATAATACCAAACACATGCACACTTTTAAACCAATTTAAAACAGTCACTTTTTTTTATTATTGGGCATTTTATCCATCAGAATGGTAAACTGAATTTGACAAACAACGTTTTCATTCATTTAGCATTAAACAGAAAGTCAGTGTCTGTATGAGTATGCAGTCTTTTACTCACCTTTACAAATCTATTTAACAGAGGCAAACAAGAAAACATTGAAACATTTTATTACACATGGAAAGTGTCAATGTACATTACATTACATTACATTTAGTCATTTAGCAGACGCTTTTATCCAAAGCGACTTACAAATGAGAACAATGGAAACAATCAAAATCAACAAGAGAGCAATGATATGCAAGTGCTATAGCAAGTCTCAGTTAGCTTAACGCAGTACACGTAGCAAGGTTTTTTTTTTATTATATAATAAATAAAAAGAAAACATAGAATAGAAAAAGAATAGAGCAAGCTAGTGTTAGAGACCTTTTTTTTTTGCTTTTGTTACTTGTATAATAAATAAAAAGAAAACAAATAGATAGAATACAAAAAGATTAGAGAAGCTATTTTTTTAACAGAAAACAATCAGTTAGTAAATGAATAGAGTGCAAGTCTAAAAGGGGCAAGTTTAAAACATTTTTTTAGATAATGCAGATAATCGGACATCTTAGGAATTATGGAAAGTTCAAAATATTTAATTATTATTAATTGTTTTCAATAATTATTCAATGTTAAATGTTTTTAATAATTCTAGATTAATGAAAATGTTTTTAATGAATGTCTTCATCTGATGTAGCTTTCAAACAGCTATAAGTAACTGTAAGTAGCACAGTGGATTTTTAACAAGGAATAATTTAAGAATAATATGAACAAACAAAAAAATAGAAACCTGAAAAGATAACCATGCCTGCAGACTAAACAGTACAGGTCGAGTACAAGAACAAGTCCATGGGGTTGATTCCGAGGGAAACATAAACTGATAAAGTATTCCTTGAATGCAATGTAAGATGCTTTGCATAAAAGTGTCTGCCAAATGAATAAATAGAATATAATGATTTTATGTGTGTGTGTGTGTGTGTGTGTGTGTGTGTGTGTGTGTGTACCAAATGTCCTCACTTATATTGTGAAATACTTTGACAACCTAGTGAGGACATTTTACGGGTCCTCACTATTAAAAAGGCTTATAAAATCAGCCGAAAGATGTTTTTATTTAAATCTAGTGTTCTGCACATATGTCTGTGATGGGTATGTTTAGGGGTAGGGGTTGGGTTAGGTGATAGAAAATATCACCAACCTGATATAAAATCAATGGAAGTCTATGCAACATCTTAACTAAGATATAGCGAAACAAACATGTGTGCGTGTGATTGCTGAAGAAATATTTTTTACAGGCTGTTGCACTTCAGATCTGCTTGATTAACTCTGAATCTCTTAAAGGGAAGTGAAAGACACTCAGAATGACTGACAGAGCTGTTTTTCAGAAGAATGAAACATCACAGTTTCCATCTGTGTCTCTCTTTAGCTGCGGCTCGTCCCGCTCTCACAGTGCTGCTGCCCTCCAGAGACGAGCTGCAGCAGGGTAAGGCTACAGTGCTGTGTGTGGCCAGTAAGGGATTCCCCTCTGACTGGAAGCTGAGCTGGAAGGTGGACGGCAGCAGCAGGAGCTCTGGTGTCAATCTGAGTCCCAGTCAGCTGCAGAAGGATGGACTGTACAGCTGGAGCAGCAGCCTGAGCCTCACTGAGAGTGAGTGGAGCAGAGCAACGACCGTCAGCTGTGACGCCACTCACCCATCCCACAGTGCAGTGACCAAGAGCCTCAACACACAGCAGTGCGATGAATGAAACACACACACACACTGTCCTAAATCAGCCACTGCTCAACAATTAATCTTTCATGCTGTTAGTATATTGCTCTTATATTCTTATGCTGTAATTCTACAACTGCAATGCTCTGCAAAGTTTTGTTGCTCATTTTATTCTTGCGGCCAAATAAAAGCATTTTGTCTCAATTATGATGTTGAATTCTATAAACATTAAAAAAAAAAAAACCTAAAATATGAAATACCACTTTTATTGATTTTTCAGTTTTTATTTTAGGATGTGTGATATTGTGATGAGCAGCAAGGGTATGTAGAGAATATTTTAATATTGAAAATATCAATTACAGTAAAACAGACATAACATATTTTAGCTGTATATAATTAATGTAGTATTTTAATTTTTATTATATAGATTAGGTCAAAATCTAAAAGTATTTGAGAAATCACAGTGGCAATGAGATAATTTTATTGATTACTTCTAGCTCATTTGTACTTAGATTACATTCAAATTAGGGCTAGTGGTCTGAAGTCTTCAAATGGGTGTCAGGAGTTATGCATTTAAACAAGAAGAATGAAAAAATTAACTGTTCATCACAGAATCATATAGACAGGATGTGTAGATTGATTAAATATTCTGTTCATACAAAGGAATTAATTTCTCATTTATTGGAAATGAGATTACAGTTACTGCATGAGTGCATTTACTGTGTCGTCTGACTGAGGGATGTTTTTGCATGATGCTGTTTCACTGTGTGAACACTGGACCATTATAATACTCCATACAGTAATAATCTCCTTCATCCTCAAGCTGGACTCCACATATGTTCAGCATAAATTCATATCCAGAATAAGTTCCACTGAACCGGTCTGAAACTCCAGATGCAAGGTTACTTGTTGAGTAGATCAGGAGTTTAGGAGCTTCTCCGGGTTTCAGCAGATACGAGCTCATGCGATAACCAATTCCAGAAGATGCAGTGCAGCTGATAGAAGCAGAATCTCCTGCTTTAACAGACAGAGACTCAGGAGACTGGACCTCTTGATGAGACACTGAGAGAAAGATTAAAAAAAGTTGACATAATACAAATTACGTGATAAAATATCTGTAATTAAAAAATTAAAACAAAGGTTTTTAAAAAAAAAAAAAAGATAATGTAGAAAAATATGTTTTAACCTTGAGCAAGCAGACCCAGTGTAGCCACAATTAGTAAAAGAGACATGATTGTGTTGTGTGTCTGTGACTCTTTTAACACACATCGATCATCAGAGGAGTTTTGTGTGTGAAGCAGTAAACATGCAAAACACTACCAGAAGCGTGCTTAGAATAAAGGCTGAATTAATCACATTATAAATGTGAACCGAACAATCAGTTTTAGAAAATAAACTTTTCATACTGTAAATGTTGTCTTGAGAAAAATAGGGTTGTGAAATAAATGACAAAATACCCTAATATTTCATTACAGATAACTAAATGATGGAGACGTATTCAAATATACATGCTATACAATATAATATTCTGTTGTATCTTACATAAATATTTATTATTAGCTAGAAGACAAACAGCAAATTGACGGAGTTGAATCATTTCATTTGATAAAATTGTTTTCAAATATACAAATATACAGACAAGTTAGTGGGAAAGTTTTTTTTTTGGCATATTATTTAGTGACCACTAAGATATGTTAGGTTTCAGCTTGAACAGAGCTCAATAAACCTACACTAACTCACACATTCACAGAAGAATGAATGAATGAATGAACGAACATGTACATACAAATTGTTTTTTACAAATTGTTAAATTTGTTTAAAATTATTAAAAAATAATGAGTCTGAATTATGGAAATCATGTTACAGGAGAAGGAGGATGGAACAGAAATTTATTTTAACAAATATTGTTGGGTTGTATGATTAATTATGTTAAACATAAACTTTGGCTTTGATTGCTTGAGTGTCATATTTATTCATAGTTTTTGCTCTCTTTTCAGCACCTGCAGCTGCATTAGAAGATGTTCAGTTATCTGACCAAGGGAGGTTTTTTTATGGTTCCCACTGGACACCAGTTGCACTGATTTTACATATAGTATATATGAGATACATTAAAGATATATAAAGTTTTCCAGTTACTCCACTAACCGTTTAACAAATATTGTTGGGTTGTATGATTAATTATGTTAAACATAAACTTTGGCTTTGATTGCTTGAGTGTCATATTTATTCATAGTTTTTGCTCTCTTTTCAGCACCTGCAGCTGCATTAGAAGATGTTCAGTTATCTGACCAAGGGAGGTTTTTTTTATGGTTCCCACTGGACACCAGTTGCACTGATTTTACATATAGTATATATGAGATACATTAAAGATATATAAAGTTTCCCAGTTACTCCACTAACCGTTTCATTTCATAGCGAAATGCTGGTGGCTTTTTACGTGGGACTAGTTTGAAAAATGTTCATCTCATAAGCTTTGGCCATGGTGAGCTTTCCTTTATCTTCATGGCTGAATGGATTTTATTGGATTGTAATCTATAGAACCCTTAAGACATTCTTATGTACATTTTTAATAAAATATGTAGAATGTATTAAGGAGTGTGTGACAATGAAAATCAATAGTTCACCAGCATTAAAGAGAGTTTCTGTGTATCTGTGTGTAAAGTCAGTGAGGTGAATAATGATCTTCAACATCAACATCTGCAGAAGCTCAAAGCGGCAGTGCTGCAGTCTCACCCGAGGAGGTTTTTGTATGATGCTTTTACACTGTGTGAACACCCAGTCTGTGGTGCCAGAGACACCTTTGTCATGTTGACTCTGACAGTAATAAACTCCTGAATCTTCAGGCTGGACTCCACTGATGGCCAGCGTAAAATCCATGTGGTTTCCACTTTCACTGCCACTGAATCTAGAAGAAACACCTGAAGCTATCTGTGATGTGTAATAGGTCAGGAGTTTAGGAGCTTCTCCAGGAATCTGATGGTACCAGGACATGCAATACAGAGAGGTATCCTTTTTCCGACAATTCACAGCTGGTGTATGATTACAGTGAATAGTGACAGTCTGATCAGGATTCCCTGTTTGATCTTCAGATTGAGTCAGAATCTGCCCCACAGAACCTGAAGAGAGAGACAGAAAACAGAATAATATAAAACTGATGAGCACATTTAAAAATCTAACACTTATAAACTGTTATAATCAATGGCAATAAAGAATTTGCCTTGTAGATGAAAACATATTACTTCTATTATATTAGTTCTGTATATCATGTTAATTTTTGTACATCATTCATATCAAAATATATGAGTTAAAGTTCAATGATAATATTTACAGTATAATAATGTATACTGGTAATGTATGCTGGTAATTTATACTAAAGAATATTAAAGATTCTATTAAAGAATATATATGCATTTTAAATCTATATACAGTACACAATTTACATGAAGTATAAACTAAATCAGCTGATGACATGAATTTCTATATACTTACTCCAGGTGCAGGTTGCGAGCGTCCAAATAATGATGGCTATTAAAGACATGTTTGCTTTATGATCTGTTATTATGAAGGAGAGCTGTCAGTCATAAAAGCATAAAGTCATGGATTTATAAAGACCTCCAGAGTACTGAAGCATGCAGTTCAATGCAAAGTGTCTTCACAATGTAAATGTCTTTATTCTCTTACTGTTTAGGAACATATTTTACCTGGTAATCTGGATGAGCCAGATTTTTTTTTGACAGTTTTAAAATTCTAATGATCTAAGTTATTGATCCATTTAATTGATTTTATTGTTGTTCAGCTGTAACATTGAGGGTTTGTTGTCATTTTGCAGAGTTCTAAATCTGTTATACAAATCTCCTAAATCAGAAAGTTGTTCAGAGTATTATATTTTACAGTCACACAAGACTTAATTTCATGCACATGAAAACTGCGGGAGACTGGAAATGCAAGCTCATGTGGAGAGGTTTCACACACGCTGAATGAATGGTCAAGGCTGTGTTCGAAATCAGTCTCATACCCTCATTCACTATTCCCTACATTAGTCCACTCATGTTTTGCAGATTTTGCCAAAGTCGATTCTGTCCCCACCACAGAAGATACTCCCTGCTTCTAGGTAGCCTACCTTTTCAGCGCATCCGGTTGCATAAACATGGCCACTATTTTAAGACTGGGTCTGGTTGAAGAACTAGTTTCACCTACTATCAGTAGACAAGGGGTAATGGTCGTACTTCTGAGACTCAAATTAGACCAATCTACTTTTTTGTAACCGAATTAAAAAAGTTATGTCCAGTCTTGAAGAAAAAGAAAATTAGATGACTAACTTTTTAAGACTAGTCTAAGCAGTTTATGCAACCGGCCCCTGGGTGTCTGAATGATTCAGATTGACATTTGGTCGATTCTTTTCATTATTGAAAAGAATCGACTGAAATGCATTTTTCAGTTGTGATTCGGGTATCGCTGGTTCTGATTCTAAACATACGACATATGATTATTAATATTATTGTCTGAGAAAACGTCACGTTGCAGCCAGAGTCAATTCTACAATCCTCAAAACTGACCAGAGCTCAGTGGTGGAAGGCGCCTGACATTTTCTTTGAACTCTCACTTGTGTAAAATTAATATGGGGAAACTGCACTCTTCTCATTTCCATGCTGTTTAGGGTTAAAAAAATATAGCGTACATAAATGTATACATAACCTACATATAGGTTCATTTTGCTGTGAAAAACCAGAATGAATTACAAATCTTCATTTTAAAAAAGATTGAAATATTTGATTATGATTTGTTACATTGTTATTGTATCATAGCCCTCATATTTTTAGTTGCATATTTCATTGCGACAGACTGACTGATATATTGGTGGGGGGGATACTCTTTTCAAGGGTGGGTGTAATTCTTACTTACAGGATAAATGGAAACGTTTAAATTACAGAGACTACATAAGTCAATTTCTCTCTTTCTTTCTCTAAGTTTTTTATAGGCTTTTTCTGCCTCTCCGCTTTGTATGAAGCATTTTTTTTTTAAATATCTTTGCATACTCACATCACATATGGGTATTGATTATGATTTTTCTTTATGTGAAGCACTATATTAAGTATGAAAAACATCATAGAACACAAGGAACTCCAATGATGATTTTCTTTTGGGAAGCTCTGGGTTGGAATATTAATTAGACTATACAAGAACATGCACATCTGTGTGTATCTCATTGCAAACCCCTGTTTTTGTTATGTTTTCAGCAAAAAATTAAATGAAAAGGAAAAGAAATTATTTTATTTATATTATCATTACATCTTAAATTAATATAACAAACAAAAGAATTAGGAGTAAAAGAGCAAACTGGTTAGTGTCAGTCTCAGTTTTAGTGCAGGAGGTTTTTGTACAGCCGTTGATTGGGTTTGTATCACTGTGGTGGACTTTCGGTGGAGGCACTCGACTCTCAGTTGGAAGTAAGTAAATCTATTTCTATTTTCAAAATGAAAATTAAATGAAAAGGAAAAAAAATGATTTTTAAAATTATCATTATATTTTAAATTAATATAACAAACAAAATAATTAATAATCTAAAATCTTTCATGTGTGATTTTACCCAATGTGCACCTTATCTTATCTTATTTTTCCTCCAAACCAGTTTAAAACAATCACTTCATTTTTTTAATCACTTTATTGTCTTTGTAAAAAAAAATTTTAAAAATCTTGTTGTTTTAATTAAGTAAATACTTTTAATTAAAAGTAATTAACCTGGTTTCCATAAAATTTTTAGTTAATACAAGAAAAAGAGACTAATCAACAGAAACTTGAACAACAATCTGAATAACATTATCTAAGCTGATTTCACACACACACACACACACACACACACACACACACACACACACACACGGCTCGGCGGGGAATACAGCGGCTCGGGTGTGTGATGCGTGAAACTCCAGACAGGCTAAAGGCTAAAGCTAACCTTCTGCATACAACACACTGACAATAACAACTCACGACAGAAAAGCAGCACTTCACAAGCGTTAGTGGTTATTAAACACCCGTGTTTACCGTGAGATCATATTTAGCACTCGTTCATATACACACAGATCTCAGCTGATCACATCAGTAATTAGCTCTTTGGCACTTTCTCTCTCTCTCACACACACACACACACACACACACACACGTCTTTCTCTAGGTCTTTCCACGGTTGCTTCACGCTGCTGATTTCACACACACACACACACACACACACACACACACACACAAAGGTTGTTGTAACAAATCATGAAAATATTTTTTTTTACAGTGTTGAGCATTTTATCCATCAGAATGGTAAATCTGTCAATAAACATATTAAGACAACTTAGAAATTATGCAAAGTTGAAAATATATGATAATGAATTTAAATATTTTTAATAATTAGGTGTCTGGATTCAGGTTTATTTTTCATTTACACTCCATGGTAGAATTAGGAACATATCAAACTTAACTGTAAATAATATATTATAACTTTTTAAAAGAAAATCATTTTATAATAATTTCAACAAAAGACAATAGAAACCTGAAAAGTTAAAGATCTATAATATAACATTATGAATAATGAATAAATAGTGTTAAATCTAAACATAGGCATATGTGTGATGGCTGGTAAAATGTGTGTTTACAGGCTGTTGCACTTCAGATCTGCTTGATTAACTCTGAATCTCTTAAAGGGAAGTGAAAGACACTCAGAATGACTGACAGAGCTGTTTTTCAGAAGAATGAAACATCACAGTTTCCATCTCTGTCTCTCTTTAGCTGCGGCTCGTCCCGCTCTCACAGTGCTGCCGCCCTCCAGAGACCAGCTGCAGCAGGGTAAGGCTACAGTGCTGTGTGTGGCCAGTAAGGGATTCCCCTCTGACTGGAAGCTGAGCTGGAAGGTGGACGGCAGCAGCAGGAGCTCTGGTGTCAATCTGAGTCCCAGTCAGCTGCAGAAGGATGGACTGTACAGCTGGAGCAGCAGCCTGAGCCTCACTGAGAGTGAGTGGAGCAGAGCAACGACCGTCAGCTGTGACGCCACTCACCCATCCCACAGTGCAGTGACCAAGAGCCTCAACACACAGCAGTGCGATGAATGAAACACACACACACACACACACTGTCCTA